TGGCGTCTAAGTACGTAACACATCGGGATCAAAAACATACAACACCGGGCATTCGCCGGTCGTCACCGACCCGACTACTACTCCAGCCCTCACTGGCTTATCTATGGGAGAGCGGACGGGATCCCGAGTTCTCCAGTGGGTATGGTCGTATGTGTTCGGTTGTCAACTACAAGCAGACCATATACTTCGGTAGGGAGGTTTACAGTATTAACGGTAGACTAATCAGAGTGTGAACAATCACTTTGCTAGTTATTAAGTATCTAGTCACTATTACATCTTTATTACACTAAGTATATTTTTAGTTTATAAATTATAAAAATAAAGCGGCAGCTTATTATTATTAAGTAGAACTGAAGCAATTAAGCGTCTTAGTACCTTCTTGTTAAGTGTAATAGTATCTAGGAATTAGATTGTTTTGGGCATTGGTATGCCTTCTTCGACGTCTTGAACTCGGCATCCTAGATTTCGCTTACCGCACACCGTTGACATAAAGTATCTTCTACATCGAAAGGTCTCACTGTGAAAACAACAGACACCCAGGACAACAAATCACATGTTGCACCTGCATTCGTGCTAATGGAATCTCATATAGCTTCCCTCGACATTCATTTCCACGTCCACTAAAGAAAGTGTGAGGCTCTGCTCTTGCGAGATTGTGAATCCTCTGGACTGGGCACGACGCATATTCACATAAAAGTACGCGTGGCTTGAAGACGCTGCAAGCAACCACAGCGGCAGTAATCGCAAAAATGTACCGGAAACAACAGTATCAGCTGTTCTCAATCGCTTCAAGATACACCTGCGACTTGCCTGCTAGTTATGAGGCCTCCATCAGAAGGGGATGCCTGTCTCCCAAGCTTGTAAGATGATTTTGTTCAACCTACTTAAAAGTCATATATGGTTCTCTCTTTCGTCTTTTACGCGGCATTGACTATCCGAGACTAAAGAACGCTGCAGTTATCCCCTCGTTATGGCGCCGAGACTACGAAATCAAGCATAGTCACTCTTGCCCAGCAAAAAGGCAGAGAGATTCCTGTGATGTCAAAATCAACAGATATGGCGATGTAGAAAGACCTCACTAGAGCGTAGGGAATTTATCAGCCTAAGGAAAACCTCCTGCTAGAGCGTCGAGAGCATGTCATCAAGAGCCTAAATGCTACTTCGCTCAGGAATATTCGATCACTGAGTCACTCAATCGACATAAAAGTAGCCGGATCGTCGAATACGTTTTTGGCTGATGAAAATTTCCACGATGACCTACTCCAATAAGCGTGTGGCAAGGTACATCACGTTTTCTGCCGTAGTCTGGAAAATGACAGAGAGCCCTATGTTTGGCCCGCAGACACAATGATGAATCGATTCCGCTTGATGAACCATCGTGCGGGCCAAAGGCGTGGCGATACGTGATGTCATGAAAACCAAGGGGATGCTACGTTGTTTCCAGAACAGAGTCTGCCCCAACTCATGGTTGGGAATCTCTTATCCGACCAAAAGGGGTATGGAAGTCGAGTCACACATGGCAGGGGCCGGCGAGTATCGGGCATGACTGGCAGGACCCTGAAAACATACTACGACGGCACTTTGATGTTCCCGGACGACAGGCAATTGTTTGAATATGGATGTCACAGGCATCAACCCCCGCACATCATGAGTCAAGGACAGTGTAATCCGAACTACAGTTGGTCCCATGTGCGCCACGTAAGAGGACGAGGTGCGCGTGCTGGTACTTGAGCTTCCCTCCATCTGGTCACTCCGAAGCTATAGATCGTGACGGGCAGTTTAGAGCCACGCACGCCGACGAAGATGAAGCATCGTTTCTGGAAGTATCTTGATGTTGCAGCGCCCATGCTAATGAATATTACGCCTAAAAAGACAGTCCGCTTACTACAAAACCCAAGCCAAACCCTTTGGCCCACCATGCCCAGAACACCTGCAGTGACGCCCATTTCAAGAGGCAATCCAAGCATGGCGTAGCTAATTCAACATCCATATAGGCAGCTCATGCGGTTTGAGGCGCGGCCAAACTGCCTTCTTCTATTCTTTCCTGTCTCTTACCCGCAGGCCGTACCAATTCCCCCCTTCCAAGATGAAATTGCAAACCCAGCTTGCCCGTACAACAATCCTATGTCTCGAGGGTCTAAGAAGAGATGCCAAGCTTCTGCTTTTGCACACGCGGAATGACGCCAACAATGATCAGGAGAGACGTGATAATAACGGCCCACAACTTCAACTTGAGCACATTGGCGTTGTAGGGCGTGTCAGTAGCCGTCGCAACAGTGACCAGGAGCAGGACGAGCACGACATAGCCGCTCCAGCGATGGTATTTCCAAATGGACTTGGCACGGTCCTCGCCTCCGTAGAGCTTGGGGGTAGCCCACATGGTGAAACCGACGACGTACTGGATTAACAAAATGATGGATAGAATGACGCCGAGGTAGCCATGAACGGAGTGGAAGTGGGAGTCCGGGCCTTGGAGAAACTTGTTGTACTCGATGATCGAGACACCGGCGACGAGGAAAAGGAACGCCAGCAGATTCAGGACAGCGTGGACGCGCTGGCCGACACGCTTCTGATCGGGGGTATGGGTCGGCTGCAGGGAGAGGATCGACTGGATGAGGGTGAAGATGGCGAGACTTTGGGCCAGCGGGTGGCCGGAGAAAAGGATCACATCTTTGGTGAGGACGGCAGCCCAGATCATGGCGACGAAGATGACAGCACCAAACTGGGCGACGACACCGGTGCCTGTCAACGTCTTGTCAGTCACGGCTTGTCGACGACGAGGACGGCGACAGCAATAACGTACCGAGAACGAGGTTCTTCGCGATGAACTGGCCCGGAGGCTGCTGGGCGTCACCAGGCCGTCCGAGCAGAGGCTCCAATTCGCCGTGGCCGTGGCCGCGATGGTCTTCGCCTGGAGGTGGCTCGGGCAGTCCTGTTGCAGAAGACATATTTTGCAGCTTTTCTGTAATGTATCTGTCTGAATCGGGTCTTATCTAGAAGCGTTGTGAATTGCACCAAGCGCGGATGGTCTCTCTACGCTGAAGTCTCGTCTGAGAGATGAATTGGAGTCGTTGGGAGGATGAAAGAAAAGTGAAGTGCGTCAGAGATGCGGTGCAACTTATTTCTAAGGGGGGTGCGAGGCAGCACCTGAGTTGGGAAGGAGGGAATGTCGGCATGTCGGCGTTTGGTGGTCATCTACAGCGCAAAGTGCTGTTATGGCGGCATCGATGACGGCAGAGCTCGTCTCGAGCTGTGGCCTATCGGAGCTCGTGTATTTCTGATTGAACAAGGACCTGCAGGGGGCTCCGGCTTGGAATGGTGGGGTACCTTAACTTGGGGGATGGTCCCCGGCACGTACTTAGTAGGAGTCGCAGCGGGCAACAGGTCAGGTCAGGTTGGGTCTTGTTCCAACTGTCAGCTGTACCCGGGCGCTGCAGAATCTGGATCTCATGTGAATCTGCAGCGGAGCCATGGGCAACTTTGCTTTTCGTTTTTCGCTTCCACTTCATTTGCCTTCCAGCGTCCGGGCCCTTTCGCATGGCATGGCGTGCTCGGGACTGTCTAGAGACTGTTGCACCTCTGAACGTTAATCGAGCAGAACCAATGAAGCGATCGCGATCAAAAAGATAAGGTCGTGCCCGGGTTCGAACCAGGGTTGCCGGAAGACGCTTGACAGCTGTAAGTGCTCAAAATCCGGCTGGAAGCTGGTGTCAGCACAAAAGAGTAAGGCAAGGTATCAGGTCGGAATCTGCTGCGACGAAGAGTGTGCATACAGTGATAACCACTACCGCAGTACACAACCGGAGTGTGCGTGTCATCCATCCTGCTGGGGACTGATGATGGATCTTCGCATCTCCAATTCCACTTCAAGAACAGGACCAGGGTCTGCAACGGCTTCACGTGACGATGCATGACTGACACTGCCGTGGTGGTGGAGTGGACCGCAAGAGCCGCACTACACGACGTGCAGCCGACGAAGCGATGCCTCTGGTGGATCTTACCAAACCATAAGGTGATTGATTCACCTTATGAAGACTGCCTCTAGAAACTATAAGGTGATGCATTCACCTGAGAGAAGTCGGGGACGTCGTTATCCTAAGCGCTGCGACATCGCAACCCCCACGGCGGTCGACTTACGAAACTATAAGGTGATTCAATCACCTGATGAAGTGTGCTGCTTCGAAACCATAAGGTGAAGCAATCACCTTATGAGGAAGAATTCTGCTCAGCCCTTATCAGATCGGGAGGCAGCAGGGTCATCGATGTGTGTCGTATCGTCGAGAGTTTGATGATGCATTTTGCAAGAGAAGCATCAATGATGGCTGAAGGCAAACGTACTTTGGTAGATGCTTAGTACCCTTTGAGGCCAGAAACTCAATCAACAGGCAGGAAAGACGGAGTTTCTTCCGAACGACTTCACGGGCGACGCTCCTCTCCCCCCTCGGTGCTGGCTGGAGTTCCATCAAACTTAGACGCGCACCCCGCCGACCGAACAGCGGGGACAGTACGGGTACCTAAGGTAATTAACACTTTCGTGTGCAGTGGCATGCGGGGAAGCGCCGCAGATTGGCCACGGCCCAGTGTTAGCTAATTCGCTCGAATCATTACGTCTTTGCTTATCGCCCGCGTCTGGCCGCCGGCGCGACACTCCAAGGCTCAATGTGGCCGTTGACTGTGGCCGCCCGACGTCGGAATTGGCCGCCTGGGAGCCCGGGAAGTGGAAGGGGAAGGGGAAAAGGGTCCAGCGGGAGGCACTACGAGGACAAAGCCATCACTCTTCCGAGGCTCTTTCCACCCTTCTTCCCATTGTTCAGAGGGCATTTGCACTTTTCAATTCTTTATAAATAATCCGCGGCTCCCTCGCACCGTTCAGCCCTTCTCATCTGTAAGCCACAGTCCCGAATAGTTTGCTGCAGGTGAATACACAACGCAACTCTCATCAGCTGAATTCAACCCCTCACTTGACCCCTCCATATCCCACCCCACCGTCAACCTTCACAATGGCAAGCGAACAGGAGTACACTCTTGAGCAGGTCAAGACGACCAGGATCGCGTCGGATGATATCGACAAGACCTTTCGCTCTAGCAGTATCGGTAAGTTTTCATCCGCTTTTACTCTCTCGAGACTCACTTGAGATAGGGGCTTGGGCTGAGACTGACTTGTTTCGACATAGATCTCATCTCTGCGGCCCTCGGCGGAAAGATCCTGGCTTTCTCAGACGAATGGTTTGCGGAGGCTACCAACCTGTTGACGCCCACTCCTCCCATCAGGCAGCCTGGCAAGATGGTTTACACTGGCGCTTGGTACGATGGCTGGGAGACCAGACGACACAACACAGAGCCGTTTGACTGGGTTATTGTCCGTCTCGGCGTTGCTTCTGGAACCGTTGAGGGTGTTGAAGTTGACACTGCTTTCTTCTCTGGCAACCATGCTCCCTCAATCTCGGTAGAGGGCTGTTTCAATCTCAACGACGACGAGGTCGTCTCATGGAAGGGCGGCAGAGGACAGTGGGATACGATTCTCGGCAACGAGGAGTGCGGCCCCTCTCGGCGCTTCGGTTGGAGGTTGGCCGAGCCCAAGCAGAAGCAGTACACTCACGTACGCCTGAACATGTACCCCGACGGTGGTATCGCTAGATTCCGCCTCTTCGGCCACGCTGTGCCTGTCTTCCCCGAGGATAAGGAGGCCATCTTCGACCTGGCCGCGGCGCAGAATGGCGGTGTTGCCATCTCGTGCAGCGACCAGCACTTTGGCACCAAGGATAACCTCCTGCTGCCGGGCCGCGGCAAAGATATGGGTGACGGATGGGAGACGGCTAGATCACGCACCAAAGGTCACGTAGACTGGACGATTGTTCGCCTTGGCGCACCAGGATACATTCAGAACGTCGTCGTGGACACGGCACACTTCCGTGGTAACTTCCCACAGAAGGTCAAGATCGATGCTCTTGAATGGAAGGAGAGCGGCGAGCCCGGAGCGGACGCCGCCGGATGGACTGAGATTGTGGCCCCGAGCAAGTGCGGGCCGGATCAGGAGCATGACTTCCAGAGCGACATCAAAGACAAGGTTGCGTCTCACGTGAAGATCACCATCATCCCGGATGGAGGAGTTAAGAGACTTCGTATCTTTGGCAAGAGAGCATGAGCGTTGGGTTATTGGGATGGCATAGGTAGGCAGGGCCGTGTATGAAGAAGCCATCGATAGGCTCGGCATCCCGCTGGAACAAGGGAGCGTAGAATTGGGAAAACAAAGGGGCAAAAGTTCGAAATTACAATCAGCGGCCTATAAAGACGACAACGATTCCAGGGAGGCACCTTGCTTCATGTCCTCTGACTGACTGGTTGGGCTCCTCCGTGATATGATATGCCTGGCACCTACCCACCTATCTCACTGAGCACTTTCAGGGGCTCGGCGGGGTAGCTCAATGCTCAGATGAGGCACGGTCCGCAGTTGGGTACTTCTTCCCCAAAGTGCAGGGGCACAGGGGCTTGATGCCCACCAGCTACAAGCCCTGGAGCGTGCCTAGCGGACTGGTGCTGCGCTGTGGGCAATTTATTAGTGACATCAGCAAGCTGGTCGCCGGGCAGGGCCTGACCGAACAGACCCGACGACGTGACGGGACGTTCATCTCCACTGCCTGAATTGGGTCCGTTGCGGGACTCTCAGGCCAGCACGTACCTTACCTATGCGCACACACCGGGCGGCGGGCAAGACACATAACCTGGACAGCAACCAGCAGGACAACCTCATCACACGACGCCGAGCCCGCGGCCCTTTTTCGCATCCCGCGCTGCCGACTTGAACACATCAACAACCTGCATCGACATACGGCATTCCCCACCAACGAAGGTCCAACAACGACGACAACTCCGCTTCCATCCTTCGTCTTGCTACTACGGATGCATGCTCACCCATAGCAAGCTTGCCTCTGAGACGAAACTTCCCGTAAAACATTTCCACTTCGCACCGAATCGAATCGCGCATCGCATAAACCGATACCCCCGTCCGACTAATGCCTACCGGGCCTCTCAGCTGCCCCTCCTTCCACCATGGACTTCGGGGACGTTAACGGTGGACTTGGCGACGAACAGAAGCCTCGCCCTCTACCCTCAGACTTGCCCAAGTCCCTAGACGATCGCAGCCATCGTCCACGCGAGCTGGTACCGGAGACGGAAATGTATGATGGTTGGCAGGGTAAGTCGCCCTTTTCCCTCCCCCTCCCCCTCCCCCTCCCCTTGCCCCTCCATCCGCGAGAGACCCTCGCCCGCAATTCTTGACATGTTGAGATGACGCATGGCTAACACTTAACTCCCAGGACAATCGCAGTTTCTGACCACGCCCGTACTTGCAAAGCCCCTCAACTTTGGCAATCTGAGCTTAGACGACTCTACGTACGATGAAGATATTACTACAGGCCCCAAGAATAGCGACGCACGTCTGATGGAGATGCTCGCCGCCCAAGCCGCCCACCGGGTCGGCCCGGGTTTCGATGACGAGAATACGATACTGGCCGACGAGAAGCTTCCCGAAGATGAGAAGAAGGACTTGTTGCAAAAGGCACTCAACATGGCTGCGAGCAACGGCGACACCGAGAGGATTGGCAGCATACTCAGCGGGAAAGCCAAAGAATACGTCGACGTCAATGCGCCCGACGAAGACGGAACCCCTCCGCTCATATACGCGAGCTGCTTCGTGGGTCAAAAGTAACCAGCCAAATCTCGCATCTGCTGATTGATGACAGGGCCACGAAAGTGTCGTCAAGGCGCTTATCGACGCTGGCGCTGACGTCGACAAACAAGACCGGAATCAATGGAGCGCGCTTATGTGGGCGATGACGAACCGGCACAAGAGCATCGCCAAAATCCTCCTCGACAACGGGGCATCGGCCGAGCAAAAGACCTCGTCTGGCCGGACGGCCTTCGACTTCGTGCCACCGGACAGTGACATGTCCTTCTATCTGCACGACAGTGGCTACAACATAGGCAATGCGGGAACGGATGACTTCTACAACCCTGGCTTTTCGCAAGACCGTTTTGAAGAGGAAATGGCCGAAAACGAGCTGCGCAGACGAATGATGATGGACAGTGCACGCGATCTCGAAGTTGACTTGGGTAACGTTGGCATGGATGATCAGCCAGAAGTAAGTTCTAATCAGCCACTTGCTTTCCCAACCATGGTACTCACGCAATAAGGCTACCGATGAGTTCGAAGAGGAGCAGCCTGAATTTGATTGGTCTCGCTGTCTGCATGATCAAATGTTTGTGTTCCAAGAACACGAACTTGACCGCATTCTAGACATTGTCATTACCAATATGACACCTCAAAGATCTCCCGCACAGAAGCCGGTGCCTGCGAACATGATCTTCCTTAGTGCGAGATACGCGCACTACCACTCTAGCCCCGACTTGTTGGCTAAGCTGATGATATCAGCCATGGACAAGATCAATGATGTCGTTGAGCAGTATCAATGGGATATGACGATCTTGGCTTTCTGGATTTCTAATGCCACCCTACTGCTTCATTATCTCAAGAAAGACGCTGGACTTGTGGAGGCTACGGTTCAGTTCCAGGCTCAACTTTCAGAGCTCATTAATGAGATTTTCATCCTCATTGTCAGGGATGCGGAAAGGCGACTAGACAAGGTTCTCGACGCTGCGATGCTCGACCATGAGACCATTCCCGGATTCGAGGACATTGCCTTCCAAAACGAATGGAGAATTTTCAAGCGCAAGGCGCAAGTCAAGGAAGAACCCTTAGAAAAGCGCTTCCGGCCACCGTCCCCGAAGCAAAGGGCGAAGCCTGCTCCGCGCAACGTCACCTCCCTGCTGTCGTCCACTTTGTTTGTGCTGGATCTCTACGACATCCACTCAGTTATCACAGCGCAGATCGTCTCACAGTTGCTATACTGGCTTGGAGCAGAGCTTTTCAACCGCATCATGTCTAACAGAAAGTACCTTGCGCGGACGAAAGCGATGCAAATTCGAATGAACGTCTCAACGCTGGAGGATTGGGCTAGAACCAACAACCGACAACCCGAGCACTACGAGGGAGGCGAGACGAAGTCCTCTGGCGAAACGACGGTGGACGCGGCGAGGCGGCATCTTGCGCCCGTCATTCAGCTTCTGCAATGGCTGCAGTGCTTTTCTTCGCTCGGTGCCGACGACCTCGAGGCCCTCGTGGGCACCCTGCAACAGCTCAAGCGGCTAAGCCCACAACAGCTGATCCACGCAGCGCAACATTACAGGCCCGAAGTCGGCGAGAAGGGACTACCGAAGAGTGCCCTCAAGTATCTCAACGCGATTCAAGCAGAGCATGTGCGCAGAAAGGAAGACCGCAAGAGCGCCCCCTCAACGCCGGTCAAGGTGAAAGATGCCAATGGTGGTAGTGCGGACAACACCGCTGGTAAGGCAAATAAGGGCCCAGGTGGAAATGAGAGTGAAGAGGAAGACGAGGATGTGCCGGAGAATCTCCTCATGGATCCGGCCTTGATGCTACCATTCACGCTGCCATCCGTAACGGACATGCTAGTCTCGTATGGGGCAGGCTTCGGAGGTGTCAACAGGGAGCGGGCGCGCAAATACATTCCTTCCGTTCCGCCCGAGTTCCTTTCGAAACTTGAGGCTAGCGGCGCACGGAAGGGACCAATGTTCAGTGAAAAGGATTGGGAGAATGAGGAGGTTTGAAGAAGCCGCTCGATGCTAATTACCCTCGAGACGGAAGGTCTGGTTTTTTTTTTGCGGCATTTGTGTGCAAGTGATTGGTGGCGACATGAAGCCGCGCCTAGTGGAAACCAGGAAACCACGCAATTGGAGACGTTTCGGGTGGCGCTGCAAATTTTGTGCGACAGGCGGTGCGATGTATGGGAAACCGCCAACCAGCATAGCGATTGATTCAACGACACGCAGAGACGGGTCACATAGCGCGTCTGCAAGGGGCAAACAGGCATTTCATTGAGAAATTACTCCTTGAGCATGGGACGGCACCAAAGGGTTGCATTTCTCTCCTCCTTTGTATTGGACGGAAGATGACGAAAGCGGCAAAGGTAACCAGCGGTGCGAAGGGAGAATTGTGGATGAACGTATAAACTCAAAGTGGAAGCTGAGCAAAACGGAATAGCCTGCCTGGGCTGCCCACGATGAAAGAGGGGGACGGGTTCGCTCTATACCAAGGCCATTGAGCTATTTTGTTTCGTTTTCTCCAAGTTGTTAATGCTCGCGACGTAGTTGACTCACCTCGGGATGTGGTTCCCATGTGGTTCCTGTAGCCCCAGAACGCCCCGTTTGTTCCGTAACGGTTCGACCGCCCTCTGGGGCCGTGGAAGACGTTGGTGCGTTCTTTTCAACTTCTTTTTCGGCTCTTCCCCCCGGGTTTGTGCGAGAACCACCACATTGAGTTGCGGTAGCAGTCACGCAAGGCAACGAATGGCCCGGAGTTTGCCAAGTCGGCTGCTGGTGTGACAAATTCGTGATGGCCAAGTACCTAGTCCTCATCTATCCTGCTAATGCCTCCAAGGCCTGTTATTGGAATCTCTCGGACTGAAAACCTCCCTAGCATAGGCCCTGAGAGTCTTAGGGCACATTCCTGTGTGGGACGACCCGAGAACGTGGGAGACGAGGATGGGTGGAGAGGACCCTGGAAGGATGGTCCAGCCTGCAAACAGCCAGCCGAACCCGTTGCGGCCCTAGAAAGGTCGGAAAGACCCCGATCCAAACCCCAAAAAGCTTTGGCCTCCTGCCACGCCAGAGTCTTGCACCAGTGGTCTCAAGAAGTGTGCACACTGTCACAAGCATATGGTGCAAATGCCAGACCACGACTGCCAGCTGTTTGGGCCATCTGTGGCTCCGGGGACACGCAGGAAGCATCCGTGTTTGCTCTAATCTACTGTTATTCAAACCTATAGCCATGGTTGGTTGGTTGGTTGTTTGTTTGTAGGGCGCTTAAGAGGAAGAAGAAGGGGGGGAAAGTCTGCAGTCGCCGTTCCTGGTATTTTTGCGCCGTATCTCTGGCTTCTGTGCTTGGCGGGATATAAGTTTACTAATAGAAAGGCGGAGAGGAAAGAAACGAGTGTTAGTAGTTAGATGGGAGGGGAGAGTGGCATAAGGACAAGGAGATGAGCAAAGCAGAGGTCTGTGATTGAAAGTGGTTGAAGTTGCTGAATGCATTAGGGAAATGGCTGTCTTTCTACTCCAACCGAGCAAGTTCGAATTGCACACGAACTGCTGGCGCGAAAAATTAACGATGTTACCTGGGGGTGGTTCGATATGACCGGCAAAGGGCTGGACCCGGTGCTAGCGTCCCAGCAAGAACCTCCATGACAGGGCATCGCGCAAGCATATGCTTGATGGCAAGAGCTTTGGTATGGGCACGTAAACCCTGCCCTGGGAAGCCTCCCGTTCGGGAGAAACTAGCTTCCGCTCACCATCCCGAACAGGCGGTAAAGACATGTGAGTCAATAGAGGGCCAATATTATAAGCTGAACGAGACAAATCTCAAATGGCATTCAGATCAGAGGTAGCAGAAGGTTTGGCGCCGATCGTAAGGGTCCCGTTATTCTGCAAACCGCGTGTGGTTTGGGTGACGAGGACATATCTGACGGCCCCCGGACTGGGTTCGCATTCTTTTGGAAATTTGGACAAGAACGGACGGGAGGGCAGGGCCACAAGAGCGTTTGCAAACCGAGCGACAGCCAATTAACGGGTGATGCGTGGGACGACGGTTGCTGGCATGTCGTGATTAGATTGAAGGGTTTGGCGCCAGGGAAGGGGAGCTGTGCTATGTACGAAGAGCAGCAGGCTACAACCGCAGAGATAGGTAGATCCAGGATTCGGCGGTCGTTCTGAAGAGACATGTGTAACGATAATTTCGCGGCTGCGTCGGGCGGCCGTTGCTGTGTAAGGCGGATGGAGCAGATTGAGGCCGGGCTGGGGTAGATTATGGATAGGCGGCCGCAACGGCGGGTTAGCGAGAGAGGAGGTTGAACATGACCAGCGTCGGGGCGCAATTATGGCGTACGCTCGCGTATCGCGTCCGGAGGCGTTGTCGCGGTGAATTCGGCGGTCATGAAGATGTTGCGGAGGCCGATATGCAGACAGGTGGGCTTTGTGCGTTGAATGACCCCGAGTAGCGGTATCGGTTGCAGGGTGACCTTCACCGACTTAATGCGTAGCGATGACGACGAGGGACTGGAGAGGGTCTTTTCTGGTCGGCTGCCATAGAGAAGCCCTGCTTCGGGTACTGATGCATGGCCAGATGGCGGGAGACGGGCCGGGGTTCAAGCCAATGAGCCTATCAGAAAGCGTTCGAGGTGCGTGGCATGGCATGGGAACGATTGAAGATGTGGCTGGTCGTGGGTGGATTGATTGTCGCTGCTTTGCGTATGGGGGCTCGCTCCCATCATGTAGCTGTCCGTCACCCAGGCCTGGCCGGTCTGTCTGCCCTTTTCTTTCTGATGCGCGCCTCTTCTCTCTTTCTCAATCTCCTGTGCCTCACTACGTTGCGTTGCGTTAGTGGGATGGATGACACGGGAAGACGGACAGGGACAGGACAGTGGAGGCTCGTTCAGAGGACGACAACACCCACTCCCGTCGACCACTGGACATTGCCAATCAGAAAACCAGTGGTAGGGCACGATTCCCGGGATAAGCCAATGGGAACGGGCCGGATCGTGGATCTCTAGCCAATCTGGGAAGTTGGCTGCAGCATGACAGGGTTCCCCCGACCGCCTCTGATGATGATGCCCTTGTTCGTCCATGATTTGCTGTGCGTGCGAGAGCAACAGGTGTGTGAGTGCGTGCAGATTGTGGTGCCGGGCTGTTGCGGCTGTTGCTTCCACCGCTTCCTGCTCTGCAACATACCTTACCAAGGTAGAACTGATGTGGACATTTTGGACAGGGCTGGGCCGCCTCGAAATCCATCAGTCTTGGGAGCAAAACACAAGAAATACCCAACTTCGAGCTTCCAGTCTACCCTCGTGTCTTTCCTGACCTTTTCTCCGCCTCCCCCCCGAAGCAATTGCATGTCCTTCTTTGCGCCAGCCAAGGTAGTGAGTGTTTCGAGTATCACCACCAAGCCAATGCCAACACTCTTGGGCCTCACCAAGTTCACCGCGCAAGGTACCCACCTACTTCATCACACCTTCCCGCCCGGTGTTATTTTCCCGTCCTTCCTACCCATTCCCCTCTGCCTCCATGCAGTCAATTAACCAACTCCAGACCACGGTCCCGACTCTTTTTGATCCTCCCGCCGTTTGACTCTGTCGTGCCTGCACAATCTTGCAGCCACTTACACACATCACCGCCTGCTCCACGGCTGCTCTTTCGCTTTGAACGACGCCATCTAGCGCCTCGCTGCCATATCACGACCCTTGCTCGGTGTCTTCTAGGTCACGACCTTTCTCTCTTCCTTTCCGTCCCTCTTGGATCGTCGTCCGAATAGCTCTCGCATCTCAGCATCTCATCCATCCCTCCGAGGACTCTCTGTTCCCACACTTGGCTAGCGCCACTGTCTAGCCTCGAGCGCTCGAAATTGGCACACCTGAATCCAACGCTCAACGGCTCATCGAGCCCTGGACGGCGAGCCACTTACCTCCACTTACGCCGTCACAACATCCGCCTTGGCCGCCCGTCCAGTCCATCTCTGGACCTGCTGTGCTCCCACCGGCGTACCACCGACCGCTGAGGGAGCTCCAATCCCACGCCGGTACCCAAGACCCCGGCTCCGTTTGCGAGCGAGCACGGGCGGATCGTCTCCATCTAGCCACTCGCGCCCGGCCGGAGCACCCTGAGTACTACGCCATGGCCCTCCAAAAGTCCACAAGCGTGCGCCTGAAAGCCCGGCCTACGCTCGTTCCCTTCAAGGACGATACTAGCCTCATCGCCGTCCGCTACGAAAAGACGGTCCAGGCAGAGCCTCCTATTCCTATTCTTACGCGCCTCCCCCGGAGGTCTCTATCCATCTCGACGCGTCGAACTTGCCGTTCTGCAACTTCGTCTCTTCCTAGTCCGCCCATCAGTCCCGTCGTCGTCACTCCCCCTCCAGCAATCGAACAGCACCCTGCCTTTCGTCCCCGTGTGCCCGCTGCCGACAACGATTGGAAGAGAGATTCCGGCCTTGCACCCACTGCTTCGTCTGGGGCCACAATCGTCGAGGAGTGCGAGGACCAAGATCACGCGTACGACAAAATCGACGCCTTGATCGTGGCTGGCCACGTTGTGCAACGACAAAAGCTCGTAACACCCTCCATCTGCGACAGCGAATCCCTTTATTCCACCGAGGATCCTTCGGTAGCCAAACGGCCTTCAGCTGGCCGATGCATGCGGACAGCTGCGCAAATGTCCATCGCCATGGACCATTATCATCTTGCGCAACTCCAAATCGCCGAACGTAGGTTGTCTGGCAGCTTTAGCAGCACCTTGTCGGTAGAGTCTCTGGTTGAGTTGCGGGATAAGAGTCCGGCCGACCTATCACCTGCCACGCAGCCAATGATCGCCCCGGCGCGGGGCTCCTCTTTTACAGCCTCCGATAAGTCGCCTAATCTCTCCCCTGTCAACATCCCAGACGACTTCAACCTCCTGAGCAAGGATGCCATCGACTTCTCCCCCATTTCAATCTCCATCCCCACCGTCAGTCTGCTTGACGATGATTTCCTGACGACCCTCTCCTTCTCCAATCGTGGCAGTATTAT